AGTTTTTTAACGTTAGATCTTTTCTCCTCCAGACCCACTCTTTTGACCTTATCCAGCCATGGCTTTCAGCACCATCTCTCCCAGCCTACATCTTTCCCCAAAACTCTCGACTCATAAAGGCAACTGCCTCCCCATTTTGAATAGACACCTCAAACTCATCATGTCCCTAAAAGAACTCATGCTTACCCACCCTGCTCCTCCATAAAACCTGCTTCACTCACAGCCTTTCTTAATTTACTTGTTGGCGCCTAAATCCTTCCTGATGCTCGAGCTAAAACCCTGCAAATCATCTTTAATCATCATCCTTTCTTTCTCACAGCCAGATCCAATCCTTGAGAAAATCCTGTTAGCCCTAGCGCCAGAATACATTCCCAGATCCAACTTCATCTCACCGCCCTCACGGCCACCACTCTGGTCCAGTCCACTGCTGTCTGCCGCCTGGCTGGCTGCAGTGGCGCCTAACTTGTCTCCCCGGCAGCCACTTGTCGCCGCAGGAGTTGAGTTGTCCTTTTACAACACATGTCAGATGGCGTCACTCCTCTGCTCAAAACCCTGCAGAGGCTTCCCATCTCACCCGGAGTGAAAGTCTACATGGCAGTGTGCTGCCCCCTCCTCCCCTGGCTCCTCTGTGACCCCTCTCCTGGCCACCACCCCATCACTCACTCTGCTCCAGCCTGGCTGGCTTCTGTGCTACATCTTGAGCACCTGAGGCCCATTCCCTTAGGGAGTTTTAGGGCTCTTCCCTCTGCCTGGAATGCTCACCCACAGATATCTGCACCCCTTTCAAGTCTTTGTCAGATGCTGTGTTCTCAGTGAAGCCGACCCCTTTCCAGCTATCCTGGACCCCGTGACCCTGCCCGACTTTTTTTTTTCCAGCACATTTTTCACCCAGTAAGATACTAAACAATTTTCCTTATTAACTACATTCATAGTTGTCCATTTATTTTCTCCAACTAGAATGGATTATTCCTGAGGAACAGAAATACTCGTTGTTCTGTTTACTGATGTATCCCAAATGCTTAGGGCTGTACTTGGCACATAGAGATGCTCAATGAAATCCAGTTTAATAAATGAACATGGGGGGAATCCATTCACCATGTATCCCAAAGCATCACACTGTTACTTTAAATATCTTACAATTTTATTGGTCACTTATACCTTAATAAAGCTGGAAAAAGATTAATCTCCTGAAAATAGTGTTTCCCTGGCAGTGGTTAATCCACAAAGGCCTAAAAATTAAAGGACATCTTCTGACTTTAAGTAACATGAAGTAGGGGTTTGGGGTAGTGAAATACTTATATGTGTATACATATACATATACATACATGGAAAGGTCTATTTTATATCCATGGAGATGGATGTGAAGTAACCTATTAACCATGGATATTTCTAGGTAGAAGGACAGTGGGTAAACACTTTCCTTTTTTCTCATCTGTTTTCCAATTTTTCTATAGTAAATTTAAATTACTTGAATAATAAACTTTTCAATGGAAAAAAATTGGTTTACTTCTGAGACAGTTTTAATATATTTTTGGGACTACTTTTCACCTCCAGAAGAGAATTGGGAAGTTTCTAGAAATGTGGAAAAGGCACCCATTTACGCCAATGGGAAGACCCCTGCCCAGACAGTGGGAAGAATTCTGTCTTGATTTGAGTTCCCCCAGAAGCAGCCCCTGTACAGAGTTATCTGAGAGGTGGTGGGCCGGGGCGGGCAGTGGGTGGGGAATGAGGCAGAGAAGAGAAGGAAGCCAGTAAAGGGGGGGTTGTCCAGACATTTCCACCACCTGTAACAGGGACTCGGTCCCACAACATTCAGCATAAAGTGTGCCTCAGTTACCCCATTGTGGGGGTGAGAAAGCTGGGGCATTGTTCCTTTTGCAGGAGTTGAGGGCCATTTCTGGGGGCATTAACTCTCTTGCCCTTGCAGCTTGGCCCATGTGTTCCTATAGCCAGAGAGAAAACCAACCCCTCAGGCGGAGGGCTGCGGGTGTGGCAGGTGTGGGCAGTAAGCAGAGCCCTGCAAGCAGAAATGCGTGTTCCTGAGAGGGTCTGCAGTGACTCCTTGAGTTAGACCTGAGTTTGCCCTCTGGGAGGATCTGCCTTGTTGCCCTTGTGGCTCCTGGCTCAGGCCCTGGGAGGTTCTTTCTCATCCATTCACCTTCAAGGCCACACCAGAAGTGACAATGGGGAGTGTGCCCTCTTGGAAGCCTGTGCAGGTGTTGTGGCCTGATTTCCACCAATGCAGGTGTGGGATTCGCAAGAACTGTTTTAAGGCTTGAGCAACCTGAGCTTTCATAATCTGGGTTCACGAACCCTTTGGCAACACAAATCCTTCAAACACTTAGCAAGCTCCTGAAATATTTGTTTGCAGTCATTTCCACGTGCCAGTGTGCACACACGGGGCTCTTTCCTGGTCTTCATTCTCAAGCTTGATTAACTTCTTGCATTGGAACCTCTATTCCTCTCCTCAACTCAGAGGCAATCAGCTCGAAGCCATCTGGAGAAAATAGGCTTGAGTGTGAAGAAAGCACCCTTAATCTGATCTTTGCTGCAGTGGTGGAACCGCTGAGCATTTTTAATAGGCTTTTGCTGCCCAAAGCCTTTTCTCTCAGTTATCACGTGCTCTTTGGGGTTCAAAACAGAAAGCTCCAGATTTCTGGACTCCTTCTACTCCCTTTCATTTCTGCTCTTGAACCAGCCAATTCTTTCCTGAGTTTCACTCTCCCGTGTACTGACTCACTAAGCAAAGCCAATCAGAAGCAATGTGCACTAACTTTGGGTTTTCCACCCTCTTCTGCTGACAGCCACAAGCTAAGTAACACTTTGCTCACTAAGTAATTAAGGAGCAATTTTATTAAATAATCCTCTATTGCATAGCATGGGTCTTCTTCCTTTCCAGCCTCCAAAAGCAGTGTTCTTGCCTTCCTCTGCAGCACTGCATGTTTTAGGGTCTATTCTTAACCACAGGACCCCAATGCAAGGGAGTGAACTTCATATTAATAACAGTAATATTAGCTTCAGAACAGAAAAACCCAAGAATGTCAATGGCTTAACACAATGAAAGTTTTATTCTCATTCATGAAAAAGAGCTGGGTGGTGACCAGGACAATGGGTATTCTCCATGAAGTCATTCAAGATCCAGGATGTCAAAAGAAAGCCCCCTTTAACACGTGGTTTCCAAGGTTACCCTGGGGGTCCTGTTCATTCCTGGCATCCAAAGACGACGAAAGCATGCATAGCTGTGGTAGGAGGTTTGTGAGTCGTGTTAGGGTGGCCAACGAGACGGGCTGTGAAAGAATTCACCAAGAGAAGAAAGTGTAAAGTTTTAATTCACTCTCCAGCAAAGGAGAGGGGCATGATGTAGAGAGACTCACCAGCATCGTGGGGTGGGGGCTTTGAGCTTTTATTGAATTATAATTGGATTAAAAATGGGGGGGAGGTGCTGTTGTGAGGCCCCTGGGCTGTTGGGGCTTGTAACATGAGGCTGCAGTTTGTCCCAGTGTTACCTTCTGCCTGTGGCTGTAGGGAGCAGTTAGTCCCGTTCTGTTCCTGCTTTCCAGTGATGTCCAGTCCTGGGGACAAGCGGAGAGGAGGAGAGGGCAGTCGTGCTTAACAATGTCACAGGCCTGCAGATGGCGCCACCATAGCAAATGGAGCTGGCTCTGTCCTTTCAGGTCTCATAAAATTCCTTCTCACATTTCATTTTCTAGCCACATGAGTTCATCTAGATGCAAGCAGCAAGGTATCTTGGGGTGGGGGTGGGGGTGGGGCGGGAATAACTCCCAGGCGGCCAGTGCAGTGTTGAAGGGGGAGAACCAATATTTTACTGGACAATTAGCTGATCTCCCATAATTTCAAACAGAAAAAAAAACATAAATGTAAACTCTCAGCTCTCTCCTCTACCCTCCAACTCCTTTCTCTAATTATTCGGACTCACTGAAATGGGGAGTTTGTCAGAACACTGTCCTTGGACTTGAGGTGAGGGGCCTGCTTCAACTGGGAAGGAACAAGCTGGGTACCTTTACCTAACAGCTTCCTCCCTGTTGTGGTAAAAACAAACAAACAAACAAACAAACAAACAAACAAACAACAAACAAACAAAAAAACACCTCTCAAGCTGAGCAATTACTAACTGCTGGCTTTTAGGATTTTTTTTTTAAACAAAGGAATTGAAAGGCTGAGCCACTCTGCTCTTTGCTTCTCTAGGGAGAGCAGGCGGAGGACCGACTGGGAGGAAAGGAGCGGGAACCTGGGACCGCGGGCCCCGCAGCGGGACGCTTCACCCCTGGTTACTGTTCACTTGAGTAACAGTACGTGAGCGATGGGCAGTTTGCTCGGGTTAATGGCCTGCTGTGGGACGGGCATTGCCAGGTACAGAGAGGGGTGTGGAACAGCCACTCTGGACGCCAGTAAAAGCAATCTTATGGAAGAAGCCTTCTTCGTTAAAAACCAAACGCCATCAAACCTGGGCCTCTGCAGCAGTAGATTCAGTACCAGCCACACTCTTCTGAAGTTCCTTTTGCCACCAGAGCCCCAGGCACACTCAGCCTCGAGTGACCCGGAGCAGACGAATTCCGTGTGCGGAATGTGCACTTCTGGGGTTTAGGCGGAGCGGTGTCGGACACACACAGCTGACTCTCTTCGCAGACCCAGTGACCCTAATCAAATCAACCCACAGCGATGAGGTTCTGGTTTTCACAAAAGGGAGAGAGTTGCTCATCATTCAAAATAAGTCCTTCCCTACTGCCAGTTTTTTTAAAAAATTAAGATCTGACTCCTGGTGCCTATAAAACACAGTGCAGTTCACATTCAACTTGTCAAGGGTGTAGCAGTTGTGCAAAGAGAGGGACTCTGTAACAGTGTGAGGCCTCAGCGCCTCCCTGGGCTCTGGGCAGCCCAGCTGTCACGGCCACAAACAGGTGGTGTAAAACAATAGCTCCACTGAGCCGACACACTGTCCAAACCCGCCAGCAGCCGAGTGTCCAGCCAGAGCGCCGGCCAGCAGCACAGGCCACCAGTCTGCCTCCAGTCCGCCGCCAGCCCGCAGCAGCGCCCTCCGCCCATGGAGCCCCGGCTGCTCCTCCTGCTCCTGGGCCTCTGCTCAGGTAAGTGCCGGTGCTGGGGGGCTGTGCTTTGAGGCTGAAGCACGAGACACCCACAAACCTGAGTCCTGCTTCTTTGGTGGGAACACAGTGGCGAGCGTCAGCAGCCTGAGACTGCTGTCAGTTTCTCACCAATGTTGGCTTGATCGGGTTTGTGGATAGAGATTTCTCAATTGTGCTATCCAAATAAAATAGGAGTTGCTTGGTACAAAGCAGAACGTGCTGGTCTCTCCCTCTATCAGTGCCTGGTGCGCCCGTGTGATTGCATTCAGCACCACCGCTGCCCTCCCAGAGCTGCCCTCCGCTTAGAACGACTACAGGGACTCAGCAGGGGGCCGACTCACTGCCGCAAACAATGGGGCTAACAACCCCCTTTACCTCTCCTGGAGAGTTCTGATAATAGAGAGGACTGATTGACAGCTCCATGTGCTGGAGAGAGAAACCTATTCATACTTGTAATTAAATTCTCTCCAGGAGATGAAATATTTTGTAACTTTTTAAACTTCTGAAGTTAAAAGAAGTTCATACGAATGCATTCTGGCTTACTTTTTTTTTCATTTGAGAAAGTACATTACTGTAAGAAGGCTAGGGTTTGAACTGAAACCTTAAAGCCTTGCGAGCCCTTGACCTGCCTTTAACTCTGGAATGTGTCGCCACACAGCAGCTGAAGCACTCTCCTGAATCCCACACTTCCGGGAGCGGAAAACAGGAGATGTCTGCTGATTGCTTCATATCGGAGAATTTGCTGGTGACATCATCCCAACGGGGAAGCAAGGCAGCTGGCATTCTGTGACTTCTCTAACATTGCTCTGACAGACACAGGCCTTCTGGGCAGAAGAGGGAAAGAGTTTTATTATCAATGTTTTTCCATAGCAGAGTTGAGGGAAATAGCCAAAACTCTAATACATTCAGATAAATGATATCCTATGGGATTTGGACTTGATCCAACCAGATGTGGCCTGGTGGTGATGGTGTGTGTGTGTGTGCGCGCGCGTGCAGACACTACACTCAGGGAAAATTCTTAAGTGATGTGCTTATGCATAGAAATCCTTGAAAGAGCTCTTAGGACACCAAAAACCTCCAAAAATGCATGGTTAGCTACCTTAAAAAGTATGTCTCATATATTGCCTCATATATTTAGATCAACCCTAGAATTTGCTGGGATAGATTCCCACAGGTGAATTTAGAGCTGGGTGAGGCATTCCAACATCTTCGGTGCCATGTTATGGGGAAGCTGAGGCGGGAAGACAGGAACTGACCTGCCCAAACTCACTGAACGTATGCATCTTAGATCGCGGTCTTTCAGAGACTCCTTTTGTTGTGTGCGTAGTCAGAAAACAGCCTGGAAGTGCAAAAGGTAGCAACACTACACAGCAGCAGGGCGAGATCAGCATCACCCAAGAGGAGTAGGAATAGTGTAGAATTCTTTTTGCCCAACCCAGTGGCCATTAAAAATACAAATTGGAACAGTATGGTACAGAAAAGCAATGTTAACATTTTGGTTGGGTTCCCCTATTTAGAACCAATTCCTTGTGGGCAAAATTCTCATTCATATCAGGGATATATTTTCCTTGTTAGCTTAACACATAATGATCTCTGTTCTATTTATATAGCATTTTTTATTACAACCTTTCCTCTCTTCCGTCTCAAGAATCCCAAGTACTTTATTGCCACCTCTCTTACAGCATACTACTTTCCAACTTGTTCACAGCTATTTATGTAAGTGACAAATGTCAGTCTTCATGAGGGTAGGAAGACAGGATTTATGTCAGATTCACCTTCAGATATCTCAGAGCTCTTAAAACCACGCTTTGCACACAGTGAATGCACATGTATCTGACGAACACGCTAAGGCTACACCATCTGAACAAGGATGATGTTCCTGAACAGGGAGCCCTGGACATTATTTATCTGTCTGCATGGTTATTAATTTACACTCTGCATCTTATACTTACTGGGATGCATTGAGTCCATGGGGAATTGGTCCAATTCTCCAGCTCACGGTGGATTTAGGAATAGAACTGTATGATTCTGACCTCAAGTCCTGTAAGTTTTCTATCACTGCACCCTGTTTCAAAAAGGAAAAAAAGAGGGACAGAAAACTAATGAATCCAATCTAAGAAATGCAGACCTTTGGGGAAATTCCTGAGAAATTCATTAAGGAAGCAGCCAGGCCCCTTGTTATTGGCCAGGGTGGGAGAGGAGGGAATTTGTGTTGCTGGTGTGCTGACCGCGCCCACCCATCTCCCGGCCCTGCCTTCTCTCCCCGGTGGGCCATGGGGTTGGCTTGCATAGTTTTCCTGCTACAGAATGCTCACCATCTGCCCTATCTGTTGCTTTCTAGTATGTTCTTCCTGTCAAACCGGAATAAACCATCACTTGAAAATAAGCAGCCCAAGGCAATGCCAAAGCAACAGCTTCAAATTCAGCTGCCAAGACATTCAGTGACCCATGCCAGTCCCCTACCCTGTGGGCTGAGTGGGGCCCAGGATAGACAGGCATGAGGGACAGAGGACTGCTGTGTCCCAGGGGCTCAATGGGGTGACTGCAAACACTGGGCCTTTGGACAACACGCTCCTCTGAAGAACCTTCAAATGCCAGTGGTTTGGGGGAGATGCCATATGAAAGCTCTGCATGGACCCTTTTGGGTTTAGGAAACTTGGAAAACTAGAAAGGGAGAGGCAGGCTAGGTCAGGGGCTCCCTACAGAGAGTCCAAGGAGGTCATAACAAACAGCCTGACGCTGCACCGAGAGCTTCAAAAACCCGAATGGAAGTGATACATGTACCTTTAGGGAGGTGGCAAAGAGCACGGGCCCAGGTGGCGGACTGCCCCATTCAAAGTCCTGCCTCTAATTGGCGGTGAACCACAAATACATCCCTCGATTGTCTAAACCGCAACTTTCTCCTTTGTAATACAGGGGTGAAGACTTACCTCCTAGGACTATTATAAGCATGTAATGAGTTAAAACAAATACAGGGCCTTTACTAAAGCTCTACAGGCTACTTAAAGCACACTTTTGACCGGATAAAATGTTTTCAACTTATGGCACAACATTGGTTGTTTCAAGCTGATCCAAAGTTCTGGATAAGAAATAGTGGCTGAGAGCCTGTACTTTGGTTTTGAACCCTGGCCCCACCGCTTATGAATCCTGGCCACTTAACCTCTCTGTGCCTCAACTTCCTCGTCTGTAAAGCGAGGACCAAAATAATACCTACCACACCCCATGATGAGGCTGGAAAGAGTTAGTATATATAAAGCATGTAGAAGAACAGCACATAAGGTGGACATGCCAGTTATTTTTATTAATAAAATTAGGAAGAGTCATTACTTTTTACTTTATAATTATTTTATTGACAAACTCTTCCAAACTTAAGCTACATAGACACAAATGACATTTTGGGAAAAGAAGATCAAAACTATGAACAATAAAATGGCAATAAATACATATCTATCAACACTGAATCTAAAAAATAAACTACACAAACAAGAAGAACTAAGGTAGAATCATAGATACAGGGGTCATTTGATGGCTGCCAGATGGGAGGGTGGTGTGGGGAAATGGGTGAAGAGGTGAGGAGATGAAGAAGTACAGATAGGCAGTTACAGAATAGCCATGGGAATGTAAAATACAGCGTAGGAAATGGAGCAGCCAAAGAACTTATACACGTGACCCATGGACAGGAACACTGGTGGGGAGGTGGCCTGAAGGAGTGGGGGGTGCTGGATGGAGGGGGCAAAGGGGGAAAATTGTGGGGCAACTGTAATAGCAAAATCAATAAAAAATAATTTAAGAAAACAGAAAAATAATAACCTGTCTTAGAAGTAGTAGGTTAACACTCCTGGGGAAAAAAGAGAAAGCATCTCCTTCATTTAACCTTTCAAGTTGTCTTGTTCCAGGCAGGAGGTTTGGGGGTTTCAGCAATAACCTGCGGAAAGGGGAGATCTGGTGGCATGAGTCAGGGCAAATGGATCATTTGGGTCTGCTTCCCAAGATCATGGAAGCAGATCATGTGTCTGCTTCCTCTCCCAGCCCTGAACCGGCAATCCCCAGTCCACGCAAGGCTTGAGTTACAGAGATCCTTCGTAAGGCACTGGCTGGAATCCAAAACACCTTTTCTAACACGAATCATGCCGCACAGTCTCTGTCTGAGACAGCCCACAGCACACTCAGGAGCTAGTGCAGGGGCACGCTGCCCAGCGACAGGTCTCTCACCCCAGCTCGGCCCTGGCCACACGGCCTTGCACGGGCCGTCCAGCCTCTCAGAACCCCAGGTGAAAGTGCCAGCTTACCCACCTGCCTCACTGGAGGCTGGTGAGGACCACACAACACTGGCCATAGAAGGGCCATGAGCCCCGAGAATATTGATGGCATTGCTCTTCGCCCTGAAAGAAAATCCAGTCAAGATTCCCTGGGGTTGCTCCTGCTCCAAACAGGAGCCCCAAGCCCAGGCGAGCAGAGCACACAGTTTTACTCTGTCTTGATAACAACCGGGACAAGGACCCACCAGCAGTGATTTAAAAAAAAAACTATGGTAAAATACAGATGGTATAAAATCGACCATGGTAAAATGCACATACATAAAATCACCATTTTAAAGTGAACGATTTAGTGGCATTAAGTACATTTAACATGCTATGCAGACATCTCCACTGTCTAGTTTTGTAACTCTTCTTAGTCCCAAAGGGAAGCCCTGGGCCCATTAGCTGTCACTCCCTCTTCCCCTGTCCCTCGGTCCCTGGTATTCCCCTAATCTGCTATCTCTGTGGACTAACCTATTTTGGACACTTCATATAAACGGAATCACACAGTATGTGCCCTTCTGTGTCTGGTTCCTTTCACACAGCACAGTGTTTTCAAGGCAGGTCCATGTTGTCTGGACCAACACTGCACTCCTTTTTCTGGCTGACAAGTTTCCCCCTGAATGGTGTTAGGCCACAACTTGTTCCTCCACTTGCCTGTTGTTGATGGACATTTGGGTCGTGTCCATCGCTTAGCCCTTGTATACAGTACTGCTGTGAACGTTCAGGTACAGGTTTCTGTGCGAACAGTTCTTTCGGGACACACCCAGAAGTGGAAGTGGCAGGTTGTGTGCTAACTCTGTGCTTAACTGGTGTGAGGGACCACCAAATGTTCCCCTCAGTGACCACCCCATTTTATATTCTCATCAGCAACACATCAGGGCTTCCGTTTCTCCGGTGTCACCAATACTTGTCACTTTCAACTTGGTTCACTATGGCCATCCTAACGGGTGTGAACAGCACTGATTTTTGGCTGTCCCTAGCATCTGAGACCAGCCAATGTGACCGGTCATTACACCACGACCAGACTCTGAAATGCTGAGACTGGGTTTTGGGGGGGATCTTTCTTCTTGTGTGTACATGTTCCTAGCAAGCTTGATTCAGCCAGAAGCTGTATTAAGGAATGTCCCCTGTCCAAAGCACAGCCGTCATGGTAATCTGGTATGCCCCACTGGGAAGGGACCACACCAGCAGCTGTGCTTGGAAAGGACTCCAGAAAACACTAGCTGCATTTGGGAGCGCTTCAACAAGGGCTAATGCGAGCCTCCCACTAGCTCGCTGTGCCTCAGTTCCTCGTGTTAGTGTGTGTGGAGGCAGGCAGCAGAGTCTAACAGTGTGCATGTCATTTGCTGCCTCAGCTGGCCTGGTCCTGGGCTCTGAACATGAGACCCGTCTGGTGGCAAAGCTATTCGAACACTACAACAGCGTTGTGCGGCCAGTGGAAGACCACCGCCAGGCCGTGGAGGTCACCGTGGGCCTGCAGCTGATACAGCTCATCAATGTGGTGAGAGCAGAGCGCTCCAGGCCCCCCCCTCCAGCACCCACAGTCTCACCCCGGAGCACCCTCCCGTTCGCTTTCCCCTGCTCCCTAAAGATGGGGTCTTATCTTTTTTCAGGATGAAGTGAATCAGATCGTAACAACCAACGTTCGACTAAAACAGGTATGTCAGTGAGACAGTTGCATTTATGTTGTCTGTATTCACCCTGAAATTTAACCTGGACCCAGAGTAAATCAATTTCAATTGAAGGAATATATACCAAAACGTTGCAGTGAGTATTTGGGGGCAGTGGGATTATGGACTGTATTTGCCAGTGGGGGTTTGTTTTTACTTTGTGCTTTTTCCTTGTGTATTCGTTTGCCAGGGCTGCCATAACAAAGACTCAAAGTGGGTGGCTCAAACCGCAGAGATTTGTTGCTCAGAGTTGCTGAAGCCAAAAGTCCAAAATCAAGGTGTCGGCAGAAGGGGTTTCTTCAAGGTGTCAGCAGAAGGGCTGTGCGGGAGAGTCCGCCCCAGGCCTCTCTGCTTTGCGGGTAGTTGGCCGTGTTCGTGTTCTCACGGCATTCTTCCCGAATGTGCCTCTGTCAGAAATGTTCCCTCCTCACAACTAACGCATTGGGATAGGGCCCACCTTATTGAACTTATTTTAACTTAATAACCTCTCTCCTAATAGGGTCCTATTCTGAGGTACTAGGGGTTAGGGCTTCAACATATGAATTTTGGGGAGACAAAATTCAACCCATAACATTGTATATTTATGGTTATGCTGCGTTGGGCATATATTACTTTTATAATGTAGAAAAAACATAATACTTTTTAAAAGTGATGTTGCCTGCTTCAGGAAAGATGTTCACAGGAAGGACATTCTCCTTCCTGGCGGGGGCACTGTGGCGAGATAGACCTGCCACCACCCAGGGGCGTGACCTGGAGGCACCTTTGTTTCCCCATCTGTAAAATGGGGTGAGTGACCACTCTGACCTTGCAGGGTCATTGTGAGGTCGAAATGATCAATATCAGGAAAATGCTTACAACAGCGACTGCATGCAGCCAATCAGCAGAAGCATTGGCTTATATTGCTAACTAACACGAAAGCCGAACTCTGAATCCAGCCTTTCTAATGGCAGCACAATTTCTGTTGCTATCTAAAGTATCATACCCACCAGAGCTCTTGATAACCCTGCATTGTTTTAAAAACGTTTTGAGCTTTCTAATCAGCCAAGCGTCTTCATTTCTAGCAATGGGTAGATTACAACCTAAAATGGAATCCAGACGACTATGGCGGCGTGAAAAAAATTCACATTCCCTCCGAAAAGATCTGGCGCCCAGACATCGTGCTGTATAACAAGTAAGCGAACCAGCCCGGCCGGGGAGGGGCCTTGCACGGGGAGCCCACGTGCCCCGACAGAAGGGCCGCCGCTGTCAGTATGCTCCGAAAACCAAGAGCCAGGCTGCCCTGCTAGGGCGCCATATGGCGTCTCGTGTTATGAAGAGGAACAATTATCGGAGCCAAATTGAATCAGGGCTGTGGGTGGAGGACATTTAATCCCCGAGGGCTCCTGAAGGGTGTATGGCAACTGTCCAAGGAACCCAAACTTGCTATGATTGAGTTCCTTGGAACTAAACGTCCTTCCTGCCAGCAGGTCCGAGCCTCCCGGGGTCGGGATTCATCACGCCCTCATGGCAGCCGAGCTGCTGACGCCCGGGACGCCCGTGCAGCCCACCCAGGGGCTCCGTGACAGACTGCATGTCACAAAACTATAATGTGATTCGAGACACTCTGCTCTAATGACATGTTCATTACCATACATCCTTCATTTGTCAGGGCCTGTGCATCGCAGAGCACGCCCTTCCCAGGCAGCAGCATTTAACACTGGCCTACAGGGCTCGCGCCTGACGCGCTGCAGCTCGTGTCTGCGGCGAGCTAGCGGTGCCAGGCGGCAGACTTACGGGGGAGGAGGCCGCGGCCAGTGAGTGGAAAGGACGCCCTTTACTGCCAACCACCCCTCCTTCGATTTTCCACCCACATATATTCCTGTCATAACTGGGATTCAAGCTTGAGTCAAATGATCCAATCATTTCTGTGAACTTTTCAGTCTGTTATGCCAATAGGGCAAAGTGTCCTGTGTTAGTAAAGTTTCTCTTCCAATAAGAATGTGAGGGAAGTGATGAACTCCTCTGCTCCTTCTAACAAGCTTGTTCAGGAGCACCCTGGTGGGGAGAGGGCCCTGTGTGGTCTGCTTAAAGGGACAGACGGACAACGTGGCCCTCTGCTCTTTGGAAAGGCCCAACAGTGCAATGGGATACAGCCCCATCCCAAGGAAAATTCAATGGGGAGAAAACCTCTTGACTCATGAAGTGAGGAGCCAACAGATGCTGTATGTCTCTGAACGCCCACTGAGACGACCCCACCCCTGCCTGACACCTGTGCCCAGCCCTGGGCCACAGCCTGGGACGCAGGGTGTTTGCTGGACGAGGACCGCGCACTGAATACAGCCCGTGTCACAGAAATGGCCTTTTGTGATTTTTAATATCTATCATGGCAGATATTTTTTAACAAGAAATTACTGCCAATATTTGAAAACTTGGAAATATTACATCAAAATCTGGGAAACTCCTACATTCAAAAATATGGAAACTTTGGACTTAAAAATGGGGAGTTTTAGCTTCTGAGGAAAAATCCAATAATCTGGAGTTTATGACAAATACTACTGAGCACTGGGAAGAAAAAAGCTTGGATGCAATGGATCAGTGTTCCCTGTTATTTCTTTAAAACGGAAGGTTCCCAGGTTCCTCCCCAGGTAATGTGATTCAGTGCTTACAGGAATTGCTACATTAGCACACAGCCCAGTGATTGTTACCATCAGACAAATTTGGGAAACCCTAACATAGGTAAGAAGCAGCACTGCCTGAAAGAAAGCTGTAATTAGCACCTGAGAATTTACAGTTCTCTCCTCTGTGGTCCCATCGTAGTGCAGACGGTGACTTTGCCATCGTCAAGTTCACCAAAGTGCTGCTGGACTACACCGGCCACATCACGTGGACGCCTCCAGCCATCTTTAAAAGCTACTGTGAGATCATCGTCACCCACTTTCCCTTTGATGAGCAGAACTGCAGCATGAAGCTGGGTACCTGGACCTATGACGGCTCTGTGGTGGCCATCTATCCGGTAGGCAGTGGCCCCATGCAGTGAGGGTGGATTCAGGAAAAGCAGGATTCAGGTCTTCTTCCACTCTGCCCCTTCATAATCACAGATTCTCAGCACCATTGGGAGATTTGGGAATCATCTACAAGATGGTTCTTGGCTGGTAAGGTTCTTGATGTGCTTGCACTTGAGAATCTCCTGGGAGCTTAAATGAAGTCCCAAGAATTTGGATTTAATCAGTCTGGGGTGAGGCTGGCACACCAATATGTTTTGTTTTGTTTTTATTTACTTTTAGACAGAGGGGAGGGGAAGGAGAAAGACAGGGAGAGAAACCCAATCTGTGTTTGCCTCTCATGCACCCCCTACTGGGCACCTGGCCTGCAACCCAGGCATGTGCCCTGACTGGGAATTGCACTAGCAATCCTTTGGTTTGCAGGCTGGCGTTCAATCCACTGAGCCACACCAGCCAGGGCCAGGGCACCAGTATATTTTAAAGCTCCTAAGGTAGCTTGAATCCCAATAGTTCCACCCCCCTTGTTTGATAGGAAAGTAACCTGAGATGCCAAACTGGAAGTGACCCAGGGTCCCACCTGGGTGTGTAAGAGCACTGGAATCTGTTGCCTTGTCACAGATGACTACAAAACCCTGCCCCTCCTCAGGGTGACATGGCTGGGTTTTGAAAGTTTCATTTCATCTTCTCAGGAAAGTGACCAGCCAGACCTGAGCAACTTCATGGAGAGTGGGGAATGGGTGATCAAGGAGGCCCGTGGCTGGAAGCACTGGGTGTTCTATGCCTGCTGCACCTCCACCCCCTATCTGGACATCACCTACCACTTCGTCATGCAGCGCCTGCCCCTCTACTTCATCGTGAACGTCATCATTCCTTGCCTGCTCTTCTCCTTCCTGACTGGCCTGGTGTTCTACCTGCCCACGGACTCAGGTGGGTGCAGTTGCCATGGCTGCAACTGCTGATGCTAACAGACCTTGTGCTGCTATTTTGGGGAAAGCCAGAAATAATTACAGGCTAATCAGCAAGTGCAGGCAGACAGACAGAAATCCTCATCACGGGGAGGACACACGTACCGAGTGGCCATGTCCAGTGGCGAAAGCCGCCGTGGATGGAGCTCGCAGCTGAGCAGACTGCAGAGCAGGCCGAGAGCTGAGCGTGCCCCCAACGATGCACACATACAGCTCAGTCTAGTTAGAGTGAACAGCCACCCGTACCTATCTGTACCTATCAGTAGGTGGAACACCTACTGTGCGCCCCGAAGTGTGCGGGACCGCAGACACTCCTCACACCGCCTCCACCAAGCAGTCCCTGCTCTCTACCACCTGATCCAGGTCTCGCCTGTTTTGCTCACTGCCGGCCACTTGAAAGGAGCTTCTGCCTGTCTGTTTTCCAGATGGCAGCGCCTTTATACACAAGACCACACTTCCCAAGTGGCAGTGCTTCCTCCCCGATCAGCCCAAGCAACGTCCACACCTCCCACTGAGTCGTCACACCTGTGACACAATCTCGCCAAACCACCACAGGCCCAGGAAACAGGGAGAGGGGCTGCGTGCCACCAGCAAGCCACCGCTCATAAACGACGCGTGGCTGACAGGTGGGGAAGGCAGGGGGAAGGTGCAGACAGTTCTCGAAGTTACGACAGGTCACAACTTTATCAAAGTAATAAAAAAGAAAACCTCACCAAACTCTAAATCTGACTTTTCAACAAGGAAAAAAAGATTACGCATTCACTCATTCAACATACAGTGCTTGCTGAAGAACTGCTGTGTGGCAGGAGCACCGTAGAAAACAAGGCAGAATTCGTCCCTGCAGAAAGTATGTTCTAGCGATTATATTTGTTTTTAAACAAATGATCACAGTCGAGTATTTTTCCAGTTTTCTAATCAAATGAAGCCCCTTAAAGGCAAGAGAGAAAACACTAGTCAGGGCAATATGGAAACGAATCCCAGTTTCTACAAATGTTAAATGGTTTATGCTTGGGAAGTATTTAGAACAGTGAGACTGCTTCATGAATGTTAGCTACTATTATTACTCAAGAAATGTGATGTGACTTGGTCAATATCTCATATTTATAATTCTGTCTTTGTTTTCACTTTTAAAGGCTCTTCTCCTCACTAGGTAGAACTGGTAGTGTCTTGTTCGCACTTGCTCTGCATCCTGCTCTGTACTCCCAGCATCTGGAAGCGTCCAGAGCAGGGGCAGAGCTCCATACTGGAAAGTGGGGAAACACAGGGTTTCCCGGGGCACAATCAGCAAGACCAGCCAAGGGACGTCCCCACCAGTGGCTCTCTTCTGCCTCTAAGGTGGTCAGTCCGCACGAAAACATCTCACTGCCAGTCAGTCCCTGCCCTTCTTGTCTGCCATACTTGCCTAACCAAGACTCCAACCAGAATTGCTGATCCTGAAGTTGTAGGACCAGGAGACAAGGGGGAGCAGGGGCCTCCCTAGTTCCTTATTATGAAAAACAGAACCCAAACCAAAGTATCCCCTTTAGAGGAAAGTAAGTGATGTGAAGTCATTTATTTCATTTTCTCGGTTTGGGTCTTATGGCTTGCGCCCATAATGAGAAAACTGTACATGTGCTTCTGGACTGCCCACCTGTCTGCAGGGTCACAAGGAGGCCAGGCTTCCGTTCAGTTTGGTGAGGTTTATCATGACATTTTGCTGCAGATGGAAAACCTGCCTCCTGGGGACTAGCACGCCACCCAGCTCGTGTAACTCGGTTCTCTGGGCTCCACCAAGAAACGGAATTCTGGCCCTGATTGGTGTGGCTCAGTTGGTTGGAGCATCACCCCATACACCCAAGGGTCATGGGTTCAATTATTGGTTGGAACATGCAGGGGAGGCAACCAATTAATGTTTCTCTCTCTCTCTTTCTCTCCCCCTTCCTTTATAAAATTAATAAACATATTTTTAAAATTTTCTTAGAGATTTATTTATTCAGAGAGAGGGGAGAGAGGAAGAAAGAGAGGGAGAGAGACACCAACGTGCAAGAAAAACATCGATTGGTTGCCTCTCAAGTGCCCCCACCTGAGGACCTTGGCTGCAGCTGAGCATGTGTCCTGATGGGGAACCGAACCTGATGGGGAAACCAGCAACTTTTTGGTTTACAGGCCAGTGCTTGATCCACTGAGCCACACCAGCCAGAGCTAATCTTTTTTCAATTAAAAAAAAAAAACAATTATGGGGCATGAGACGAAGTAGTTATTTCCTGCTTGGAGGCCTCTAATGAACCTGCCACAGTCAGCAGAGTTAAGGTGCCAAGGTCTCACAGGAAATTCTACCCAACAAATTTCCCCAGAACGATGTTTTGAGAAGTGCCTGCCACATTCTTCTCGCCTGGGGTTTTGGTGGTGTCTTAGTCTGTGAGGGAATCCATAGCAAAAGACATAGACTGGGTAGCTTGAGAAAAGAGAAATCTATCATCGCACAGTTCTGGAAGCTGAAGTCCGAGATCGAGGTATCAGCAGAGTTGGTTTCCTCTGGGGTCTCTCTCCTTGGTGGACAGGTGCTGGTCTTCTCCTTGTGTCCTCACATGCTTCTTCCCTCCCTGTGTGTATCTGTGTTCTAATCTCCTCTCCTTATATGGGCACCAGTCACACTGGATGGGGGCCCACCCCGAGACCTCATTTTAGTTCCCTCTTTAAAGGCCATATCTCCAAATACAGTCACTGAGGGGCGGAGGCTTAGGACTTCAGTGCATAAATCAGAGAGGAGTAACCATTTGGGCTATGACAGCTTGTCTGTTGTGTTTCTCCCCCATTTTGCCCAGGAGAGAAGATGACTCTGAGCATCTCCGTCCTGCTGTCTTTAACTGTGTTCCTTCTGGTCATCGTGGAGCTGATCCCCTCCACCTCCAGCGCTGTGCCCTTGATTGGGAAATACATGCTCTTCACCATGGTCTTTGTCATTGCCTCCATCATCATCACCGTCATCGTCATCAACACACACCACCGCTCCCCCAGCACCCACGTCATGCCAGAGTGGGTGCGGAAGGTGAGTGAGGGAGGCCCCTGCCAACTCTGCACAGGGCAGCCATTCCTCCGGGGACTCTGCAGGGCCCCCCCTGCCCCCCCACGCCCCACCGTCGCCCGCAGAATTCTGGCTAACCCTTGTGGTACTCGGAACTGAAAGCCCTCTATGGGCTTTAGGGGATTTTTGGAAGGATATTTCTTTCTTTTTTTAAAAAATAGTTTATTGATTATGCTATTACAGCTGTCCCATTTTACCCCCTTCACTCCCCTCCACCCTGCACACCCCCTCCCACCCACATTCCCCCCCTTTAGCTCTTGTCCATGTGTCATACTTATAAGTTCTTTGGCTTCTACATTTCCCATACTATCCTTACCCTCCCCCTGTCTATTTTCTACCTACCATCTATGAAGGAAATTTCTTGAGCCCCTTTCTAGAGATAAAGAACTTATGTAGCTTCCTCAGAGAGAGAAGAAAAACAGAATTAACAAAGCTCACCTTTACTTCAAGCTTAAAGAATCTCTTTGATTAGAGAAGATACAAATAACTGTCTTTTTATTGAAATGCTGCAAAATTCTTGAGATTTCTGCTTGAATGTCTTCTGGTCTGTGAACAGGTTGCTTAATTTTTGCTGGTACAATCATCTGCATAGAATAAGGACTAGAAATGGAGGAGAGGCTTGAGAGGTTGTCAAAAAGTGAATTTTAATGGGGATCTTGGTCTCAAGTATCTACGTTTTTGAAATTTAAAATATGTTAAATTTCAAATATGTCAGGGTTTTTTAAAAAATAAAACTTCACAGACACACATATAGCTAGGGTCTTTGGCGTAAAATTCAAAAGATTTGTGATGAATTGACAGAGAAACTACTGCTCACAATGTATTTTTTTTTGAAGAAGAAAACAGTCCCTATTAAGACTGCTAAGCGACTCCTGGCAATACCTATGTTGCATTTTTTCAACAGCAATAAACAAAAGAAAATAGTCTAGCTCTTTTGTGGAGCAAGAACCTTACATATTTTTTAGTTGGAGGTGCCCTTTTTTAACCATGTGATCATGAGAGCACGTGGCCTTGGAAGAAGCAGGTACCTGCAGGGGCTCCCAAGCTAGGCGTCACTGGGTTCTCAGGAGCACCACTGGTTTCTTGAGTTGGAGAGCTGAGCACAGGCTCCCTCCGGTGGCGAAAGGCTCACATGACAGAATCATCAGTGTTAACCACAGTAACTTGACAGACCACAGGCTACTATGAAGGAATCTTTGAGTAAGTGTGGTATAGTCATTTTGTTTTCAGGACACAGAGGCTGAGGCAGAGAAGCTGAAAGCCTTGCCTAAAGTTACATTGCTAATTCAAAGTCAGACTTCGATGCTTGCCCTGCTAGAAATTATTCTCATAAATGGATTTCTTTCTTATGTTAGGTTTTTATCGACACCATCCCAAATATCATGTTCTTCTCCACAATGAAAAGACCATCCCGAGAAAAACAAGACAAAAAGATTTTTACAGAAGACATTGATATTTCTGACATTTCTGGGAAGCCGGGGCCTCCCCCCGTGGGCTTCCACTCTCCCCTGATCAAGCACCCTGAGGTGAAAAGTGCCATCGAGGGCATCAAATACATCGCGGAGACCATGAAGTCGGACCAGGAGTCCAACAATGTAAGCCTTGTGACGTGAAACCCACACCTGTGGGGTTAAATAACCAAGTGCTCGAGCACAGGTGGATGGGTTTGGCTTGATGGGCAGGTTGGGGTTTTAGAGGCAGCACCTGACCGAAGATAAGCCTCGGTGCCCGCCTCTAGGCCACCTTGGTAAGTCATCATTGTGAATGATCTATTTGAAGAATAAAGGTCTTACCCTGGCTGGTGTGGCTCAGTGGATGGAGTCCCACCCAGCGCCTGGGTTGTGGGCCAGGTCCCCAGCTGGGGGCATGTACAAGGCAACCACACATTGATGTTTCTCTCCCTCTCTTTCTCCCTCTTCCCCCTCTCTCTAAAAATAAGTACATAAAATCTTTAAAAAGATAAAGAGCATAATGCCAGCCAAAGGATGTTGAGGGCTCTGAGATCGGTAAATTAAAAGGGCTGTAGAAGATGCATAGATGAACACTGTGAGCCTAAGGGCCACCGCAAGGAAATTCTCACACTTCCTTCTCCCCCAGGCGGCCGAGGAATGGAAGTATGTTGCAATGGTGATGGACCACATTCTCCTTGGAGTCTTTATGCTCGTCTGCATCATCGGAACCCTGGCTGTGTTTGCAGGTCGGCTCATTGAATTAAATCAGCAAGGATGAGCAGGGAGCTCCGCTGAGCCTGGCCCCGCCCCCCCGGGGGGTGGGGGGGAGAGGGAAAGGTGGGGAAATAGAAGACTCGTCCACTTGGATATCAGCTCACTTTCCAAACAGTTTCTGTATTTGCGATCAATGATAATAATTTACACTTACGTGAGGCTGTGGCCTCAGAGTGTTTTCATATTGCTTCTCCCTTCAATCCAGGTCAGCCTGGAGAGTGAACCCTGTTCAATAAAGGAAACAGGGTCACTACAAGAATATTCACTGCCAATGGTATCTTGAAGAGTTTTGTCCAGAGTAGCTGAGTTTTCTGTTGGTTTGTTTTTCTACTTTTTTTTTAAGCAAAGTATGTATCCTTTGCTTAAAAGCTAGTTTAGTGCCTACTGGGAAAGCCCCACTCACCAGTCCCAAAAAGATAAAGCATTTGGTCGGGAGAGAAAAGAGGCAGTAGAAAGGCAATAGGTAAGTTCTGGAATGGCCACTGAAATGCAAATTGCATTGAATCCCGTGTTTTAAAGTACATGTCTAGGACTGGGAGGTGAGGGGAGTGTTTCTCAGTCTAACACGGTGCCTGAGTTTGATGCTCAGGGTTTAAGGGAAAACTGGTCCTAACCTGTACGGACTGGAAGGGCCAGGCCCCGAGGGCATTGTCTCAAGTACACAATTTATTTCATCCTCTCAACTGTCCTACAAATAAGAAAACTGAACTGGAGGGAGGTTTAGTTCATTGCCTAAAATATCGAAGAAGAGAACTGGGATTTGAACCTACACTGCATCTGGGTTCCAAGCAGCTCTGGGCTGAGTCAGTTCATCTGCTCCTTGCTCTCCCGGCCACCCCTGGCTCAACCTGGGCCATTCTATAGCTGGTCACTGTCTCCAGAGCTTCGGTGTTACTGTCAACCATCTTTCCGCCTTCCCAATTGCACTTCCCGCCTTTTTTTCTCCATAGCAACCTTTTAGCCACAATGTAATTCACCCCAAACTAGAGTATGTGCAGCCCTGGGCTCAGCAGCAGAACCTATCTGCCCATATCAGGGCAGCGGGGAATTGCCCTGCTGGGTGGCCTGACACAACCCGGGGCCTCCACCTACTTCTCCATGGGGATCCTTCTCACACACCCATGGTAACACTGAGTGCCTCCATCTTAAACTAAAGAGAAAACAGTTTGGTGGCTCTTCAAGAAACCAAACACAGAATTATCATATGACCCAGCAATTCCACTCCCAAAAGAACTGAAATCAGGGATTTGAACAGATACTTGTGGCCAGTGTTCCCTGCAGCGCCTGAAAAGATGGAAACAACCCAAATGTCCTTCCGCGGATGAGCAAAATACAGTATGTACATGCAGTGGGATGTTATTCAGCCTTAAAAAGGAATGAAATTCTGACATATAATGTGGCTCAACCTTGAAAACATACTAAATGAAGTACGCCAGACACAAAAGGACAGAAATTATATGACTCCACTTACACGAGGTACTGAGCACAGGCAGGTTCTCTGAGACAGAGAGTGGAGTGGTGATTACCAGGGTTCGGAAGGAGGGTTGAGTTGCTGCTTGTTGGGCAGGGTTTCTTTTGGTTTGGGGTGCTGAGAAAATCCTGGAAATGGATCATGCTGATGGTCGCACAACCTCGTGAATGTAGTTAGTGCCACGGAATTGTACACTAAAGGACGGTTAAAGTGATAAAATTTGTGTTACGAATATTTACCACAATAAAAAGCGTTGTTTTTTAAAAATCTCAAACTGTTCCTTGCTTATCCTTAAAAATGGTCCCTGGGTGAGGACAGTTGAAATAGGGCACTGAGAGAAAATAGTTTCCTCTTGAAGGAGCAGTCCCCTCTTCTCCACAAACATCGTGAGGGCTCCAGCTCCCTCCCAGAGCCACCAAGTCCCAACAGGCTTTCCCTCAGAGGGTCGGCCTGGACGCAGAGAACAGAGAAATCGCCCCACTTCAAATTTAAACCACTTTCGGGGAGCAGCCCATCCACCACCTGGGGGCCCGCCCTGAGGGTGGCGCAGAGAGCAGAGCGAGGGGCTCCCTGTCCCTTCCCAACCCTTGGGGCACCTCTTCCCCCGATTTTTCTTTCCTCCCTCTCTGCCAGGGAAGTCCTGCTAAGGTACTCTGTGTAGAAGTTTTTTTCTTTTTCCTTTCAGCCAGAAAAATAAACCTCTTGAGCAACCTTTATTTTATGAACATCAACCAAACATGGAGTTTTAAGCCAGTGTTTCCACTCTCCTTTCCACAGCCTTCGGCCACACACTGTGTGTCTCTCTGCAGCCTTTTCTCGTGTGCCTGATTTCAGTTCCCAACTTAGAATCTGCCCAAAGAACAAAGGTTGTATTTTATTTATGTTTCTACTCTCAGGTTGGGTAAATGCTCGAAAATGTGTTAAGAGATAAGTGAATGAATGGTAAGCAATGTAAATTGTCTTGTATCCTCATCCTCTAATTAACATCTGATTGGTGTGATTGGTGGAAACAAATGGCTTCAGCTGTGTCAATACATCCATACACATTTCTTACACATCTGTGCTTGTTCGCAGGATCACCAAAGGCTTCACAACCTGAGAATGTGCATAATTCTAGGCAAAGCAAGTCTGTGAGCACCTCCCATGCATCTCTAAGGACAGCTTCTCCCAGCACAATTGTCCCTGTCAGAGCCCTACCCAGCTGTAACGGCCCCTCTTGAAGGCCTTCACCTCCAGGAAACAGTCCCCACTGCTGGCCGCCCACATTCCTTATCACGTACATAGGACCTGATGAGCCCCTGTGATGTCTGCTTCATTAATTACTCTATGGATGTCCGTTTCTATCTTCAATGAGATTGTCCCTGCCTGACAAAGGAAGCTGGGTCTTGCTACCCATACTTCCTGTGGGACCCTGGGCAAATTACTTAACCCTGCTGGGTCTCAGAGTAAAAAATGTGGATAGTGAATTCTTCTCCAGGGCACTGGGAAGGTGGTGACACTCTGCAGAGGCCCCTTAAATCACACCTTTCAGGGTAAACATCATCTCCTGAACCGCTTCCTACCCTCCACTGAACCCAGGAGAGGGTTCGTTATCTACTGTGTCCACAAATATTTGTTGAATTTTTCTCTGTACATTTTATTAAGACATTTGCATGCCATAAAATTCACCATATGAAAGTGGTTCTTAGTATATTCATGAGGCAGCATACCACCATCAATATATAATTCCAGTACATTTTCATCGACTCATCTCAGTTATATTTCTTTTAAGCTTTATTTAGTTTTTGACCAATTGAAGTATCTTTTGACTGGATCACACTAAATATAATTATTCTACTTCAGAATCACTAATAGTATTTACTATATGTCAGGCACCATCTTGAGTACTTTATAAATAATAAATCCAGCATGGTAAGTTTCATCAGCGTCAGCATCCTGTTACTGATAAAGAAACTGAGATGTGGAAAGGCAGGAATCTTGCCCAGGACCACTCAGCTCCAAGTGGCAGAAGTGGGATTTGAACCCAAGACTCCCTCAGTCCATGCTCCTCACCACTCCTGCTCCCTCTTGACCAGAGCATTAGGATTTAACAACCAAGCAGTCAAAACCAAGTAAACATATAACCCTTAACCATTAAGAACCTGTTTCCCCTCTGTATTTATCAGTCACCCTTGGCTATTATTTTTTCTAACTGTGAAAGAACTATCCAATGCTGGCCCCAGGCCAGGCTATGCAGGTGACTCGAAACCCCAGAAGGCCTGGCAGTCACCCTCCAGAAGTGAGCAGTGTGAAACAACAGCACGGGGGGTGGGGGGGGACCGAGGGGGGAGAAGCCCAGACACAGGCCGCCGGACGTGGGAGAGCCTGGCCCCTGGTGATGGTAGAAAGCCGGGACTTATCGTTACAAAAAGAATCATAATGAACATCGGGGTGGACAGGTTCTTTTGAATTGGTGTTTCAGGGTTCTTAGGATATAGTCCCAGCAATGGAATTGCTGGGTCAAAAGGCAGATCCATTTTTAGTTTTCTGAGAAAGGTCCATATTGTTTTCCATAGTGGTTGTACCAGTCTGCAGTCCCACCAACAGTGCTCTAGGGTCCCCTTTTCTCCACAACCTCTCCAACACTTGTTTGTTGCTTTATGATGGCCATTCTGACTAGTGTGAAGTGGTATCTCATTGTGGTTTTAATTTGCATCCTTCTGATAGCTAATAATATTGAGCATCTTTTCAAGTGTCTCTGATCCTCTGTATGTCCTCCTTGGAGAAGTGTCTGTTCAAGTTCTTTGCCCATTTTTAAATTGGGTTGCTTGTCTTCTTAGAGTGGAGTCGTGTAAGATCTTTATATATTTTGGAGATTAAACCCTTGTCTGAGGTATCATTGGCAAATATGTTTTCCCATACAGTTGGTTCTCTTTTTATTTTTGTATTGTTTTCTTTAGCCATGCAGAAGCTTCTTATTTTGATGAGATACCATTTGTTTATTCTTTCCTTTAAGTCTCTTGCTCTAGGGGACATGTCAGTAAAAATGTTTCTGCATGAAATATCTGAGATTTTCCTGCCTATGTTCTCCTCTAGGACTTTAATGGTATAACGGTTTATATTTAAGTCTTTTGTCCACCTTGAATTTATTTTTGTGTAAGGTGTAAGTTGGTGCTCGAGTTTCATTTTTTTTGCACGTAGCTGTCCAGTTCTCCCAACACCATTTGTTGAAGAGGCAATTTTTAGTCCATTTTATGTTGCTGCCCCCTTTCTCAAATATTAAGACCATAGAGACTAAGAACCCTGAAACACCAATCCAAAAGAACCTGTGCACCCCAATGTTCATAGCAGCACAATTTACAATAGCTAGATGCTGGAAGCAACCAAGATGCCCATCAGTAAATGAATGGATCAAAAAACTATGGTACATTTACACAATGGAATTCTATGCAGCAGAAAGAAAGAAGGAGCTCCTACTCTTTGCAACAGCATGGATGGAGCTGGAAAGCATTATGCCAAGGGAAATAAGCCAGGAGGTAAAAGACAAATACCATATGATCTCACCTTTACCAGGAACCTAAACAACAAAACAAAGAAACAAGCAAAATATAGTCAAAGACACTGAAATAGAGGACAGGCGACAGTGACCAGAGAAGAGAGGGGAGGGAATTTCAGAGGAGAATGGGAAGGGTTTACAGGAACAAATTTAAAGGGCACATGGACAAAAACTAGTGGGGGTGGAAATGGGAGGGAGGTGAGGAAGGATGAGTGGGTAGGCTGGAATGGGAGTAAAGGACAGAAAATTGTACTTGAACAAATAATTAAAATACAATAAAAAATAAAAAAGAATCATAATGAAATAGTTCTGGGAAGACAAAAGGGACTGTTTTCTCTCTTTAAGACAAAATTCAGATTCTATTTTTAAAATTTTGTTAAAAATTATTTATTTATTTATCTTTAGAGAGAGGGGAAGGTAGGGAGAAAGAGAGGCAGAGAAACATCAATGTGTGGTTGCCTCTCCTGTACCGCCCCGCACCGTCCCTCTGCACTGGGGACCTAGCCTGGAACCTAGGCATGTGCCCTGACTGGGAATGGAACCCGAGACCCTATGGATCACAGGCCGGCACTCAACCCACTGAGCCACACCAGCCAGGGCTACATTCTTAACATAGGTTGAATTTAGTTATGAATTAGGCAAATGTTCTTTTACTTTAAGCTCTTTTATTCTCAGATAGTGGAAAGCACATTGATCACTGTTTACCTTAATAATACCACCTCCCACATTTAAATTATCTTACACTTTATTTGATAGAAATGGTGGATGGATTTTATCTTAGTACCTCAAGTTTTTTAAAAAATGTATTTACTTGGGAACTTGCTATGAGGAGAAATCTGTGGAGAATCCTTTAGTAAAGCAAGAAATCCCTTAAAATCATTTAATTCCTTGCTAACTTTCCTCTAAGTTCAGTGTTTGTATTTAAGACACATCCGAATTCCAGCTCCTTCATAGTTTATTATTTGCAGCACTTTGTAAAAGAAGTTGCAGGTCCTAAGTTTGAAGGCCTGGACTTGGCCAGCATCTCAGCCAGACTTTGACCCTTGTAAGACCTTGGGTTCTTAGAAAAGGCTGTTATCTCAGATCTGCTGCCCACAGGTGAGGCTCTGACGCATGTTTATACGTAGGGCTTCCATCACCGGGACACCCTGGGTCTATTTAGGGCTCTGAAGAACTCTCAGCCTGGTCTAGGATAGCCACTTACAAAACACGTGAAATGTTACCTTTCCCCCCTACTAATCATGTAACTTAGGAGAAGTTCCTTTTAGAAAATAATGCACCACCAATGGTAGTCTTCTTGCTCTGGCTGGGTAGCTGAGTTGGTTAGAGCACAGTTCCAATACACCAAGGCTGAGAGTTTGATCTCTGGTCAGGGCACACACAAGGAGGAACCAATGAACGCATCAACCAGTGGAACTTCAAACATGTCTGTATGTCTGCCTGTCTCTCTCTCCTCTCTCCCCCTTCTCTCTCTAAAATCAGTAAAAATAAAAAGATTTTTAAAAAATAATTTTATTGTATTATAATAGTTTTTTTTGGTTGGTGGGTTATTTGAGGGGGGGAAGATGGTTAAAGGGCTCAATATACTACACTTAATTTGGGAAGAAATAAGCAAACCTAAGTACTATTTTGGTTAAATAAACTGGGCAGCAGCTCCCTCTTGTGCTTAAAAGTAAGTACTGCAGCCACTGAATTAAAATGCAGGAAAGCATCCCTCAATGCACATAAAAGTTGC